TTGAACTCACAGCCTGAGCACTGCACTTAGTTTTTTTCACTCAAGGCTTGTGCTCTACCACTTAGCCACATGCCCACTTCTGTTTTTTTGGTAGTTGACTGGAGATGAGTCTCACAAACTTTCCTGCTCAGGGTAGCTTCCAACTTTGATCCTCAGATCTTAGCTTTCTAAGTAGCTAGTGTACAGGTGTGAGCCACCAGCGCCTAGCTGTAATTCAACTTTTTTTTTTTTTGTAATTCAACTTTTTGAAGGGAGGATTGTTTTTCAAAAAACTGCTTAGTACTAATAAAACAAGACACATGATTTTAACACATTTAATTTAGATAATGGAGAATCCCTTTCAACAATACTATAATATAAAGCAGATCTATTAGGTCTGAGGTTCATAAATAGTTATAATTTTCAGGTATAATAGACAAACCTAATGTTATCACTTACTAATACTAAGCAACACTTGAAATGATTTTCAGGACAGCATTATTATAAAGGTTGCTTTAATTTTAAAATAAATTAATTCTAGCCAGGTGGCTTATCCCCTGTAATCCTAGCTACTCAGGAGGTGGAGATCTGTGAATCAGATCAAAGCCAGCCTGAGTAGAAAACTCCATGTTAGCACCAATTAACCTCCCAAAAGCCATGTGATATGTGGTAGAGCGTCAGTCTGTAGTGGAAAAAAAGCAATACCTAGGCCCTGAGTTCAAGCCCCCATACCAGCACATAAAAAAGTTAATTCCCATAAAACATTTCATATCTGGCATCCTATCCAGTGAGCAGAGAAATTGTCTTAAAGTTGGAGAATTACAAGGCAGTATAACTGGCTGTCAGAAAGCAAGGTTAAAATTATACTCAGTATTTCTAGATAATTCAGTCAGAGCCTTAATGTTTTTCCCTTTTTGTTGTCGTTCCAGACAAATGACCATGGAAACAGTTGAATCTCCACAGGATGGCAGCATAATAAATTCTGTGGTAGAGCGAGATTCTGGTCATATGCAAACTCAGAGTGGCCAGAATTCAATCCCCACTCTAGCTCAGGTAGGCCATAAGCAGGCACTGATGAAAGCTAGTTCTATGACAATGAGAATCATGTATGGGTTCTTTTTTTCCCCTCATATTTAAAATTTAAGTTGTTATGATAAAGGTGATATACTGAGGGGTTACAGTTATATTAATCTGGCAAAGAGTACAGTTCTTTTTGGACAGTGTTACCCCTTCCCTTGCTCTTTCCCAGTTTTTCCTTCCCATCTCCACCCACAAGTTGTATATATCATTTTCAACATAGTGTGAGTAGCACTGCTGCATTTGTTTACCCTTTGCTCCTCCATTTCTGTGACTCCCCCCACCCTCCCAAAGACAGATAAATGAACAAACGAGACAAAAGGAAAAGAAAGCAAAAAGGCAACAAAGAAAAAAAGTCTCTTGTTTCCATTTCCTGGAGTTCATTTTGATAAATATTATTTTATATGATCAGACGGCATTGCACCTTTGTGATTCTCTCCTAAGAATATCCTCCTTTGGTCTTACTGTATGTGAATGCTTAGATCTTATATAATTTATCATGTTGTATGCGTTCTTTTTTAATTCCAGTTGATGTCAACTTTCCTCTTGTTCCTTGGTTATCAGCCATGCTTACCAAATGACTTTGTAGGGAAGATGCATATTCCTATTATTATTATTATTTGGTCCAGTTGTGCAGCCTGAACTCTGGGCCTGGATGCTGTCCCTCAGCTCTTTAGCTCAAGGCTAGCGCTCTACCAGTTGAACCACACACCACTTCCGGCTTTTTCTGCTTATGTGGTGCTGAGGAATCAAACCCAGGGCCTTATGCATGCAAGGCAAGCACTCTACCACTGAGCCACCTTCCCAGCCCTATTCCAATTATTTTATTGTATCAGACATGTGGCAGTGTTCAACCTCCACTACCACTACCAAACAAAACCCCATAATATGTAATGCTCAGACTGTTAACCTGAGTGGGTTGCTAATTCCAAATTGGTACACTTCTGATATTCTTCTATGGCAGAAATCATAGTTTGTTTTCACGTATTTGGGTTCATCATTACTTTTTCTCTTCAGATAGGTCTTCATCTTTGAATTGGCTTCATTCAGAGAGTGCTGGCTCCAGTAGTGTAGCCTGGCACTGTTGACTCAAGCCTGTAATCCTAGCCACTCAGGAGGCTGAGATCTGAGGATCGCAATTCAAAGCCAGCCAGGGCAAAAAGTCCCCATGAGACTCTTTTTTTTTTTTTTTGGTAGTCATGGTGCTTGAACTTGGGCACTGTCCCTGAGCTCTTCAGCTTAAGGGAGGGCTCTGCCACTTGAGCCACAGCACAACTTCTGGTTTTCTGGTGGTTAATTGGCGCTAAGAGTCTCATGGACTTTCCTGTCTGGGCTGGCTTTAAACCACAATCCTTAGATCTCAGCCTCCTGAGTAGCTAGGATTACAGGCATGAGCCACTGGCACCTGGCCCATGAGACTCTTATATTAACCACCAGAAAACTGAAGTGGAGCTGTGGCTCAAAGTGGTAGAGTGCTACCCTTGAGCAAAAACGCTAAAAGACAGTGCTCAGGCTCTGAATTCAAGCCCCATAACTGACAAAAAGAAAAGTAATATAAACCAGAACATGACTCTTAACTATGCAAGTATAGGAGGATTAGGGAAGGGAGTGGGAAAAGAAAAGTGGAGGATCAGTAACTTGTAAATATATTGCAACTATGTAAGAAGTGTGCATTAGGAGGTTAAATGGAAGCTGTTGATTAATAGGAGATTGGGGGTGGGTCAGGAGAAAGCAGTAGAGGTGATGGTTCTGAGCAAGGTTTAGTAGATGTATAATATCTGGGCACCATAGTGGAGGCTTTGACTCAAACAATGGAAAAATGATGGGGCTGGGAAGGTGGCTCAGTGGTAGAGTCCTTGCCTTGCATGCATGAGGCTTGAGTTCGATTTCTCAGCAACACATAAACAGAAAAAGCTGGAAGTGGCGCTGTGGCTCAAGCGGTAGAGCGCTAGCCTTGAGCTGAAGAGCTGAGGGACAGCGCCCAGGCCCAGAGTTCAGGCCTCACAACTGACCAAAAAAAAAAAGAGGAAAAGTGAAAGACAATTGGGCAGTTTGAGGGGGGATGAGTGCCACAGGGAAGCGTAGGGGTAACAGAGAAAGGTGAAAGAGGGAGAATATGGAGGAAGTAAGTTTGCATGGATGAAATAGAAGAATAAAGCCTGCTGAAAATGTTTCAGGAGCCAGGTGCCAGTGGCTCATGCCTATAATCCTTGCTACTCAGGAGGCTGAGATCTGAGGATCGTGGTTCAAAGTCAGTCCAGGTAGGAAAGTTCATGAGACTCTTATCTCCACTAAATCACTCAGAAAACCAGAGTGGCACTATGGCCCAAGTGGTAGAGGGCTAGTCTTGAGCTGAAGAACTGAAGGACAGTACCTAGGCCCAGAGTTCAAGCCCCACCTCGGACAAACAAAAACAAAAATGTTTCAGGAAAGAGAAAGGGCATAGGGAATGTGGTTGATAAATTGTATGCATGTGTGGAAATGTTATAATGGAACCCCTGTGGTACAATGAGTGTAAGTAATAATATGTAGCTTGAAACACCAGGAAACAAGTACTTGAAAGAGGTAGAGTGGGGTTAAGGGGAAAGAAGTAGACAAATGAAGAAAAGAAGAGGGGAAGAAATGGAGTCAAGAATCCAGTGCAGGGCTGGGAAGGTGGCTCAATGGTAGAGCACTTGCCTTGCATGCATGAGGCCCTGGGTTCGATTCCTCAGCACCACATAAGCAGGAAAAAAAAAGCCGGAAGTGGTGCTGTGGCTCAAGTGGTAGAGTGCTAGCCTTGAGCTGGAATGCTGAGGGACAGCGCCCAGGCCCAGAGTTGAGGCCCACCACTGGACCCCCCCCCCAAAAAAAAAAAGAATCCAGTGCATATCCTACAAAACTAAGAAGAGTGAGGGAGAAGGTAGGTTGGAAAAGGATGAGTGAGAATGTTGAAAGAAGTGACATTGATCAAGACATATTGTATTCATAAACTGCTTTGTTAAATGGAAACTCCTTTGTACAGCTACTCAGATAATTTTTTGAATGCAAAAAAAAATCATTTAACTTCCCACTCCCCCAAAAATGTAGCCCAGTACTGGTTGCTCATGCCTATAATCCTAGCTATTCAGGAGGCTGAGATCTGAGGATCAAAATTTCAAGCCAGCCTGGACAAGAAAGTCCTTGAGCCTCTCATCTCCAATTTAGCCAGAAAAAGAGCTGTGGTATAAGTGGTAGAGTGCTAGCCTTGAGCACAAAAGCTCAGGAACAGCATCCAGGCTTTGAGTTCAAGCCCCAGGACTGGCACACACATGCACAAAAATATATGTGGTAAGCTGGGAATGTGGCTCAGTGGTAGAGTGCTTGCCTAAAATGCATGAAGCCCCAAGTTTAACTCATCAGTACCCTATTAACAGAAAAGGCTGAAAGTGGCACTGTGGCTCAAGTGGTAGAGTTCTAGCCTTGAGCAAAAAGAAGCTCAGGGCAGTGCCCAGGCCCTGAGTTCAAGCCCCAGGAATGGCAAAATAATAATGCGTGTGTATGTATGTATGTTCATAATAAAAAACAGCAAGCACATTTATGTATCAATTTATCAAATACTAATTGAATGCCTACTGTGTTTAGGCCTTGTTCCAAATGTAGAGTTTTGGTTTTTTTTTATTGTGAAAATACTATACAGAGGGTTTACAATTACATGGGCAAGATAATGAGTACATTTCTTATCAAGCATTGTAGCCTCCTCCTTTGTTTCCCCTTCCCATCTCTTCCCATCCTCCCCCTACCCCCCACCCAATCCTCCCTGCTACCTCCCCCTCCCAGTTTTGTTTTCTTTTACCAGTTTTGGGGCTTGAACTCAGAGCCTGGGTGCTATCCACGAGCTCTTCTGCTCAAGGCTAACATTCTACCACTTTAAGCCACAGTGCCACTTCTAGTTTTCTGGTGGTTAACCCGAAGATAAGAATCTCATGAGCTGGGCACTGGTGGCTCACACCTGTAATCCTAACTATGCAAGAGGCTGAGATGAGATCTAAGGATCATGGTTCAAAGCCAGCTGGGGCAGGAAAGTCTGGGAGATTCTTTTTTTTGGTCCGGTCATGGGGCCTGAACTCTGGGCCTGGGTGCTGTCCCTCAGCTCTTCAGCTCAAGGATAGCGCTCTACCACTTGAGCCATAGCATCACTTCTGGCTTTTTTCTTTTTGCTTATGTGGTGCTGAGGAATCGAACCCAGGGCCTTCTGCATGCAAGGCAAGCACTCTACCACTGAGCCACCTTTCCAGCCCTGGGAGATTCTTATCTCCAATAAACCACCAGAAAACCAGAAGTGGTCCTGTGGCCTAAGTGGTAGAGTGCTCGCTGTGAGCTGAAGAGCTGAGGACAGCGCCCAGGCCCAGAGTTCAACCCATGACAACCACTACCACCACCACCAACAACAACTAAAAGAATCTCATGAGCTTGCCTGCCTGGGCAAGCCTCCTGAGTATCTAAGATTATAGGCACGAGCCACAAGTGAGTGATTATATATAGAGATTTGTCATTCCTTGCCCTAACTATGTCCTGGTACAGTAGGGTAGCCAGGACTTTTCATAATAATGCTAGTAGCATTATTATGAAAATACTTGGCATGCTGTAAAATGCCAAGTACAAAATGAATAAGTAGTGTAGAGGAGGGAGTATTCAGTTAACTAGGAGCATGTACTTTACAGGAGATTTTTTTTTTTTGAGCTAGACATGATGAGTAGGTGTTTGCAAGGTGGTTATGGGAAGGGAAGTGTAGTGTGTATGTGTGTGTATGTGTGTGTGTGTGTGTGTATGTGTGTATGCATGCGCGCGTGCATGCACACGCACCAATCTTAGGGATTGAATTAAGGGCTCTTACTGAATTTTGTGCTCAAGGTTAGCATTCTGTCACTTGAGCCATAGCTCCACTTTTGGCTTTTTAGTGTTTAATTAGAAGTAAGAGTCTCATAGGCCTTCCTGCCCAGGCTGGTTTTGAACCA